CAGTAAATTGATAAACTCATTTTATAAATCTCAGAACAATACGTGAAATTAAATTACTACATATAAAAAAATCACAGATAATATACAACACGTAAAACTATACAATAGAATATTGAATTGATTTAATTAAAATAAAGTTAAATATATATACATGATACTGATTTTATTTTATAAAAAATAAATTATGAATTTATTCAGAAGTTCCAAGAATTAAGTTTATATATAGGAAGCAATAGTAATCAAGACTTGTTAGAATTTGGTATCAAAAAATTTATAATTGATTATAAAACTCCATTCTATGCTGAAATTTCTGAGCAGTGTGCAATTATTAATAGTATGGTTTACTTTTATTTGAGAACTGACAAAGGAGTAAAATGGTTTTTTTAACAAGTTTATCAAATACATATGCTATATCTCAAGAACATACTCTTTGAAAACCTCATGAGAACCAAGATCGGGTCCTAATATCTAATTTATATTATGTTATATAAAAACCCCTCCATCTTAAAACCGCACCCAACCCTAAAAATTCTTAGGCCGGTGAATTTCACCTCTGGTGAATTTTAAATAAATTCAAAATTATAATAATAAATTTAAATTTAATAGTTTCAAAAAATTATAAATTATTTTTTAGTTAAAAAATTCTTTAAAAGTTTTATATTTTTTTGGCTTATTAGCAAGTTCTTTTTATTATATAAACTTAAAATATAATTCTTATTTTCAAATATTATCAAAAAAAAATTTATCATATAACTTATATTAATTTTTGGAAAAATAGACAGAAGTATTTTTATAGTAATATTCAGGGCCCTGGATTTCAATTTAAGAGGTAATGTAAAATATCAGATTTCTTAATCTTTATTGAGATGAGAGAAAATTAAATTTTAACAAACTTATTTATGAAATACCTAGAATTTTCAATAATAGATTTAGTAATTATTAAATTAATTGTTTGGTCTGGTTCACAAACACAACTATAAGGGTAATAATGCAAATTATAATGCAAATTATTAGAATTTCTAATAACAGATAAATTATTTGTTTGTTTTGGCTCCAAAACAAAACTATTAGAGTAGTAGAGTTCGTGCAAATTAACATAATGCAACTTTTTATATTTAAAATTTAAGAAATATTTTGAATTTTTATGTTTTGGGTTATATTTGTATCCTGAAAAAGAATGTTTATAAACCTTCTTTGCGATTTCTGCCAGCTTATTATAAA